AAGATGCAAATAGTAAACATTAATTCACCGATCTCAGACACACACTCCAAGTAGCACAGAAAACAACAATAATTGTATAGATTGTTTATTGGATTTTATGGAGATGCACGCCCACTGCAGAATCATCCTAATTAACCTAACATTAGAATTTCTATCCAAATAGAAATATTAAGTCATCTGCTGAAATTGTATTCGTATCACAAAATAAAATTATCGTGCAGCCCTAATATTTATTAACATTAACTAAGTATAATAATGATAATAATAATAATGAATAATCTTGTGCAGTGTTTATTAATCATAATTTAACATTAACTAAAGCATTATTAAAATGCAAAGTTCTGCTTGTTAATGCACAGTTAACATGCACTAACTAAATATAACATTAACTAAAATTAACAAAGATTAACAAATATAGGGTTGGGCGATGTCGACCGATTTTGCATCGTACGATGTATAATGTGAAGCATCGCGATGGATGATGGCATCGTCGTAATTGGCAGTGAATTAATTATTCACAAATAATGAATTAATTCATAACTAATTAATTATTTGTAGCCTGGCGTTTCAACCTGAACCTCATGGCCTTTGTTTTACCGATAACCAATTCATAAATAAATAAAGATTATTTACAAACAAATTACACAGACAAACCATCTGTCAGTCACTTTTTCCATGAGACTCTGGCAAGAAAAGGCAGAGTGATCCGTGTCGTTATAATGGCGTCGACAAAAAGGTGCACAACCAACAGGAAAGAAACCAACAGTATCTGAGTCAGTATGTTTTCGCTAAAATTACTAAGTACAAGCATGAAAGCGAAAGATTAAAGCAGCGTACTGAGGCTGTGACACACTACCTGAAAGATTTAAAAAAAACTGAAGAGTCGTTAGATAGAGACAAGATTAATTAAATATCACGTTAAACAACTATAGTGAGATCGATATCATTCGCAATAGTCACATAGTTGAATCTGTAATGTAAAGTTCAGCTTCAGTTTATTCATACCTCAGGAAATTTCAGTGGAGTTAGAGATGATTAAGAACCATATTGTTGAGACTTGAGAGATTGTGATGTTTAACTTAAGAGTAAAAGAGTGCTCGTTCGCTTTGTTTTTAAGGCCTGTGACTCTAAGATTTCAAGGGTATTTAAATAATTTGTGTTGTAAAATTCATTGCATTTAACTTTTATACAGTGAAGGCCATGCAATTTTATTTGCTTACATTTGATTATTTAACTTATACTCAAAGTAAAAAATAATAATAAATCAATCAATAAATAAATCAATAAAATTTAATTTATGCAATTTATCTGGCCGACAACATCATCCCAATCCATAAAAATAAAATTGAGTTCTTTCCAAATTGAGCTACTCAAGTAATCTGGTGAAATAATTATAATCATATCGCATTCGCAATAAATATTGCAGAAATAAAAAATATTGCAATTTCCAATACCATGCAGTGCTAGTCCATTAGTTAAAGTGTTACCAGCAACTGTTAATATTTAAAAAAAAATAAATGAATAAATAAAATAAAAATTAAAAATAACATTGTAGGCCCTTCAAACAATGAGGTTTTACATATTTATAAGCAATAATCCCTAAATTATCTTAAGAAAATGTAGCAAAAACTAGTATGCGTGTTCATTTTTACATTATATCTATTATTACGCTGAATGAGGATGGACCATTAGTTCACCCAAAGTTTCACAAAAGTTCCACACAATTCTCTCATGTTGTCCAAAACCACAAATCGATTGAGTTAACTTAATAATTTTTACAAATGTATGTGGGTTCAACATGAAACAATCAGATTGTGCCAAAAACAACTTAAAGAATTGTGTTGCTTCAACTCATTTTATACAATTAGTTTGTACTCTTGTATTTTTGGTGTACTGGACTTGCCAGAGAGGAGCTTTTACTTGCATATAAATTGCTTTGTGTGTAATTTAAAATCTCTTTTATCATTTTAATTTCAGGCAAACACCAAACATGAGACAAAAAACATTTACATTTCACAACAGACAGCTTTCAACTGTTCTGAACATCAGCACAATGTGGTCTAATATCAGATACTGACATGTATTAAAAGGTTATATGATAAACCAGGCTGCATTTTTGCATCTGCTGAGTTTTATCAGCCCAAGTGTGTAGTGTCAGTAGTGCATGACCTGTCAACTGAGCTCAGACCAGTTGCTGGAGGTGTTTCCGACATGACGCTGGATCAAATGAACGTGCTGTATTCAGTGCCTGTTTTTGGACATTGGACTTGCGCTCTGCTTTATCTGATGTTGGGTAACTGAGACACTCGAGCACTCTCCTGGACTGCTAAATTAACAAAAAGCAACAAGGCTAAATGCATGTGTTGCACAGTGGGAATAAAATGTTTGCAGGGTTGCTGCTTCTACCTAAACTGTACATTTACAGCCTTTATACAGGTCTAACCTCTGGTGTAAACAACATGTGTAATGTAAATTTTGGGTGGCTAATGCTGTCATTCAAAGGTTGAATACTGTCATTTGAATTTATATACTGTCATTCAAAGGTTTGGTGAGATTTTCTTAATAATGGTCATGCATTATTTTAAGGTACAATTCTCGCTATTAACAAACCATCATCGAAGAATTTTAGCTCAATAAACTCTTAATTTGCTGCTTATTTATACTTTAAAAGGTAGTAGTTGGGTTTAGTTAATGGATAGGATTAAGAATGTAGAATAAGATCACACTACATAGATACTAAAAACAGCAAGGTAAGTAATAAGCAAATAGTTAATATAACTGGTACTTGAACTAAAATAGGGTTTCATCAAGTCAAATTAAAGACTTTTTAAGACACAAGATCACAAGATCCTTCCAAAAACCTTCTTGGGTGCTAATTTGGTGGTTATATATATATTTAAGTTATATTGTGAATGAAAGCAGCTGAGCTTAGGCCTGTCATAATAATCAATATATCGACTTATCCATAACACATGGGCATGACCTCAATCATTTTTGATGCAATATATATCGCCCATGCATAAAAACATTTCTAGAAACTTTTTAGCTGTGCAACATTTCTATCTCTATTGGAGGAGTCAGTGTCACTATGGTTAAATATACACTAGTATTTACTATAAATTACTTGAGTATATTTTCATCTGGGTGTCTGACAAATTAAAATAGATCTGGTAGCAGATATCACAGCCTCTTATACTTTTTACTTTTTTGCTAACATTTATTATTATTTATTTAGGGTATGCATTAAGGCTGCACAAAATAATGGAAAAAATTGACATTGCAATGTTTTGTATTTCTGCGATATATATTGTGATATGAGGCGACGCAGTGGCTCAGTAGGTAGTGCTGTCGCCTCACTGCAAGAAGGCCGCTGGGTCGAATCTCGGCTCAGTTGGCGTTTATGTGTGGAGTTTGCATGTTCTCCCAGTGTTCGCGTGGGTTTCCTCCGGGTGCTCCGGTTTCCACCACAGTCCAAAGACATGCGTTACAGGTGAATTGGGTAGGCTAAATACAGTAAATTACTGTATGTAAATTCTCTACAAATTACTGTGAGGTAGTTAACAGTAATTTACTGTGATTTTGTTACATTCAATTACTGTGAAATTACAGCCATATAGTCTAATATATGGAGAGTATAAGGAGAGTGCACAGCCATATAGTGGTCTACAGTATTATCTTGTAGAATTAACTATATTTTTCTGTGAAGCAGGCTTCCCTTGGCTAGTCATCCTGACATTTACCTTGACTTTGAAATCATTTTGAGTGTTTAACAGTGTTTGGTTTTATAAATCAATTAATTTTGTTCCAGTTTATTGCAGTTTTGGGCTAAGCACAAAGTTATGCTCATTAAAATGTATGTTATATTTCCATGTTAACCTTCTAAAATTAAAAACAGGTGTAGTGCACCCAAAAAGGAAAATTCAGTTTGACTTTTACGCCGTTTCCATACAGGATGATTTTCTTTCAAGTTATTTTAGAAGATGTAACCAAATTGTCTTGGGGCTGCATTAACATTCTGTTATTTCTAAATATAAAAAGTACCAATACAAGCATAAAAGTCCATTTGTAATAATTTCATGTTATGTTAAATGAAATTTACAGTAACTTGCTGTAAACATGCTAATTTGATTAATTTCACAACAAAATTCTGAATGCAATGCATTACCTTAAATGTTTACAGTTAAATCCTGTAGTCATACTAATGTAATTTACTGTGAAAAATTACAGTAACGTTGTGAAAATCTAGATTTTTTTTTTACAGTGTACTGTAAACCATGTTCTGTCAAATATGCCGTCGAAAACCAATGCGATAATCTTAAAACGTCCAGTACATTACTAAAATATGATCCTAGTAAGTGAAGTCTCACACCATCAAACCACACTGGAAGGAGCCAGTACATGACACAATGCCTATAAATCTAGTTTGAAAGGCATAAATCAATAAGCATAAAACTCTGCCAATATACCAGAAAGCCAACACACATATCGAACACAGACGTTTAAGAAGATTATCAACCAGTGGAGACTCTTCACATAAAAATAACACGCGCAGACAACAACCCAAAAACGGCCGTCCTTCAAAGCAAAATAACACAAGCGCTACAGAGGGAATTTTAAAAGCTCCCTCGTCTTGTTCTGGCATCTCTAGGTCAGCTCATTAAAGCAGATGGGGGGGTTCAGCAGTAAGTTCAGCATGAGGATGTGAAATCAAAGCCATATGCTTCGGAGCAGCATCTGCCATATTATTAAAAACACAACAGCGCCAAGACCACAGGAACATCAGTAACAATAATGCTCTGAGGGAGAAAAAAAAAACTCATCCTTCCCAACTCTTTGAAGCAGAGGAGCAAAATGCCACATTGATCAAGAATGAGACCATTAGTTTTTTAAAAAAAAGAGGCTTAAAAACTTTAACAGTTGGAGCTAAAAAGTCAATTCCTTCCTATAGCGATTCCTTCTCAAAGCAGATCAAATATGACAGCATGCGTTAAATAACATACCTGCAGTTGGGTGGAGGATCCAGAGTGATTTCTGCAAGCTCTTTCTGGATTCTGCGAGAGGAGAAGAGAGGGAGAGAAAGCTGTAAGAATTGCAAGCAGCCAGGGAATTACACTGCCCTCTACCTCTGCTGCGTTTACTGCACGGCTGGCTCTCCCTTCAGCACAGCTAACATGGCTGCTTCCTCTTTGTTCTCGGAGGCATAACCCGAATCCCATAACAGGAAAACTTTGCCGTGCTCATTTCTGCCGTTCCCTCCATCGCACACCGTTGATCTTCACCTCGGCTCAAAGCCTGCTCCCCTCAGCTCCCAGCCCACCCCTCGACGGCGCGTTTAAGTCACTTTAAGCACAATAGATTTTCTTTTAAAGCTTATATGCAAATGAGACCGAGGGAGGGAGGGAGAAAGGGGGGTGTGCTCGAGCATATTTGACAAGAGCTTTAATGCACAGCTCGGGTGCTGTTACTAAAGCATTATCAACAGTGTGTAAAGGAGCCGGGGCAGGATTTTTGACACACATTTCTTTTTAATAATAACGGTTTGATCTGTTATTCCACCCACATTGAGAAAGTCTGTGGCGTTTAATGAGCACTGATGTGAACTAATTGGGTTTTTTTTCAGCACCAAATTCACTATGAGTGTGGAATCTTTGTGTTTACAAAAGAAAAGGATCCTGGTTACAAAGCAGATTTGATTCACCTCTCTTGTTTCTCACAATAACTTTATGCAAGAGTTCACTGCAACTTTTCCTAAGTAAACACAGCATGCTTCATTGAAATATAAATATAAGCCGATCACACATCATCATACTGTTTCTTTGCCCATGCAGTTAAGTAATTATTTAAGCTTAGCAGCTTAATGCTTTCATTCTCAAGGATAGAGCACGAAAGACTAAACTGTTAATTGGCAGATTGTGAAAATAACCTTAAATGCACAAAAAGTGATTATAATTTTACAAAATAACATTTAAAATGGTCATATTTACCTCTTTGCGCTGGAGGATAATTTGGCTGTTGTTTTGCTGGACAGTTTGGTGGATTTTTTCTGCTGTTGTGGAGGCGTTGGTTGTTTTCGCTCCTCTTGTTCCTCTGGTTCTGGCACCGGGAGATCTCTCTGATCCGCATCAGAACTACCGCTGCTGGTGCTGGGACTTTCATCATCTGACCGTTGTCTTTCACTGGACATTTTCCACCTTCGTAAAGGACAACAAGAGGTTCTGAACCAGTGTTGACTGCAGAAAGGTCTCCAGGGGTTTAAGCAAATCTCAGATTTGCTCAAAAGAAACTTCAACCCTAACCTGAATGTTGTCTGGAGCCCTAACCCTTACGTTTCTAAATACAAACATAAGTCACGTTGGATGAGCTTGTCAGGAAGGTAAGCAAATATGCAGGTGACACATCATGCAAACTTAATTTAGACTGTTTCAACATACAGATTACTATAGCAAGCTCTGTTAGAATTTATTTAGCTTCATCTATTTCCCACAAACACACATAATAGCATTAATTTATACTAGTAGGGCTTTCTTTTTTTACATGTGACTATTAGTCTGAATGGCTAGTTTATAGATTTAATTACCTTTTAAGATTTAAGATGTTATTAGTAACGATTGGAAAACGCGCTAACCATTAATTACAGGCCCTTTAGGGAAACTAAAATGGTTCAAGGCAACTACTTGTTTACCTCTACTGCTTTCTAATGAACAGGTACTAGTAAAACTGGAATAGGCATCAGCAACAGCTGGAATGCATGCTGGATGGAGGTAAATAGCTGATAACTGAATCACAGATTCTCATATAATTTAATTAGAAAAAAATATGCTACTAGCAACAATGAAATAGTTACTTGTCGTTACTGGAATGAATAAACATTAGCAACTAGTCACGACTGCTATCTAATGAAGCTACTAGTCAGTGTGGATTACTTGCACTGCTGATTAAAAGAAGTGCTGGTAAACACACACACAAATATGTATTCGTTATTTTTCAATGGCTTGCCATAGGACCAACAATCAAAACCAGCCATCCAGCATTTGGACTCAGCACAAGCAAACGTATGGATGATCCAATCCGATCCAATTACATCAAACTGTTGTCATCCTGAAGGACAAAACGTCCACGTTTTCACACGTTAAGCCACATACACACCAACTTAATCCATTAGCGACTGAGCTGATAGTATTTGTAAATAGCGCAACATTGTTGCAACCATTATGACGTTTCACATGGATCCGCGATACATTGTATCAGTTTTGCGCTTAATGTTACAAGCTGCAGCGACCATCGCACGTTCACAAAACCCTCCTCCGCGAAAAGAGCCTTGAGTTTTTTCGCTTTCCATCTGCTGAATAGGTGCAAGTGGCCGAGCTTACGAGAGTAAACGAGAAAAACACACGGCTGTTCCAGCAGAATCTAGCGCTGAGAAGAAGGAGATTTCAAGAGCTGCAAAGCAAAGCAATAATTGCACCTATTCGCAGCATGTCCACCCCCTTCACTTTAGGAGAACAAGGCGATATCGCGAGCGGATTGCGAGTACACAAAAAAATCGAGTCGTTTAACGCACGCCGGGGCGAAAAGATTCAGATTGGATCTTTTAAAATCCTTTGTAAGAGGTTTGTTATGGTAGGAGGCACTCCAGTATCAGCATGGTGTACCAACTGATGCGTGAAGTCAGTTTCGAGCTCCCTTCTCTTCAGACCTGAAAATACTAAGAAAGGACGATGTTACCCCGCCTAACGTGGACTCTACGAGACCCTTAGAGCTTCTCCTTTACCTTAGACGCGGTCCTGTCCTGAACTGGGGTGGTTAGGAGTGTTAAAAATCCAGTTGAAATGGAGCCGGGAAGACGACGGGCTCCGGCCGAGCTGTGAACATTGGAGAGTAGGAAGGAGAGGAGGCGCTGCACTTTTACTCGGGGCCGACAGGTGGCGCTGTACGGCGCGTGGACATAAGCGTCTACCGCCTCGGCTGCTTTCACAAAACCTTTAAAACCAACGTGAAACTGTTTCGCCTCACGATACGCTCCACTTGAGCTGGATTTGTCAATGCATCAGCCTGCATGCGTGTGAAGAAGGCATAAGCGGTGACCGACCGTCCTGTCCCCGAGAATGAGGGGATGTTGTGGCGTCAGGAGGAAGTTTGACATGTTGTTGTTGTGAGGCTCCATGGTGAGAGCAATCAGCTCACGGAAACTTTGAGCGTGGGTGAGAAGTTTGGCTGGAATTCCAGTGCAGGTGGGAGTCCCTGTACAGCTCTGCATGACTTACACCGCATGACTTCTCTATTGTCTACTCTACAGCACCACTGTAGGACTTCTCTATAGTCAGTAGTGTACTTCTCAATTCTGCATGCTCTTTTGCTTCTCTCTTGTATATAATGCTATGTTATGGTATATACTGCATGACTTCTAGTCTGTTTAACATTCTGCTGTTCTCAGTTCTCTCTGTTGCTTCATTTTTATATGTTCTATTACACTTTCTGATTTAAAGTTGACTAGATACCACATACATGACTTCTAGTCTGTTCTACTCTCTGCATTTTAATGGTAAAAAGTCAATATAGTATAAATATCTTTACTCAGTAGTGTACTTCTCAATTCTGGATGCTCTTTTGCTTCTCTCTTGTCTTTACTGCTATGTTATGGTATATACTGCATGACTTCTAGTCCTTTCAACACTTTGCCTTATTAATGAATAGGGTATATGCTGTTCTCACTTCTCTCTGTTGCTTAATTTTATATGATCCATTACACTTTCTGATTTAAAGTTGGCTAGATACCACATACATGACCTTTAGTCTGTTTTACTCCCTGCATTTTAATGGAAAAAGTAAATATAGTATATATGTCTTTACTCAGTAGTGTACTTCTCAATTCTGGATGCTCTTTTGCTTCTCTCTTGTCTATAATGCAATGTTACAGTATATACTGCATTACTTCTAGTCTGTTCTACATTCTGCTTTATTATTAAATGGTGTATAAACTTTTATCAGTTTTCTCTATTGCCTAATTTTTGCATGCATGACTTCTAGTCAATTCTACGCTGCATTATTATAATGAAAAGTCTATATAGTTTAATTTCCTTATAGTCAGTAGTGTACTTCTCAATTCTGCATGCTTTTTTTTTTTCATTCTCTCCTATCTATACTGCTATGTTATGGTATATACTGCATGACTTCTAGTCTGTTCTACATTCTGCCTTAATATTATTAACAGTTTATATTAGGCATGGGCCAGTATAAGATTCTGATGGTATGATAACCTTGGATGAAAATATCACGGTTTCACGGTATCATGGTATTGTGATTACAGGTCTAAAATATATTCTTTTTTAAATGTCTGGATAAAAAAAAAAAAAAAAAAATTTCCCTTTTGAAAACGTTATTTAATTTGATTAAAGATTTTAAATATTTTGGAGCAGTAAACATGTCAGGCTAAATAATGAAAATCAATTATTGACTTTTGCAGTTCTCATTTGTTTCAAAGTCAGATTTCTTTACCACTTAAAACAGCATCTTTGGATATCTTTTCCGCTGGAGACACTGTTGTCCTAAATAAAACTAACAACTAAAATGTAAATAAAAAGTCTTACTCATACCTTAGGAATAGTATTACAGAACATTTTTGGCGGTTTTCAAACCGTGACTTTTCCAAATACCTTGAAAACAGTTATCGTCTCATGCCTAGTCTATTTACTAATCTCAGTTGCTTTATTTTTATATTTTCTTTGACACTTTCTAATTTAAAGTAGGTTATATACCATATATGACTTCTACTCTGCTCTACACTGCATTAAAATAGTGAAAAGTCTATATAGCATAATATATTTTTAAAGTCAGTAGAGTGTACTTCTTAATTCCGGATGCTCTTTTGCTTCTCTCTTGTCTAAACTGCTATATCATAGTTAGGCTGGGACCGGTATAAGTTTCTGATGGTGTGATAACCTCGGAAAAAAATACCATGGTTTCACTGTATCTCGGTATTGTGATTACTGCTCTAAAGTATGCTATTTTTAAGTATCTGGGTAATAAAAATAAATAAATAATTTTCCTCACTTAACAATTTATTTTATTTTAAGAAACATTTATAATTTTTGCAACAGTAAACATGTCAGGCTAAATAGTTAAAAACAATAGTTGACTTCTGCTCTCTTCATTAGTTACAAAAACACAGATTTCCTTACAACACATAAAAATACATAAACCTAACATATACCTTGGGAACGGTGTCACAGAACATTTTAACCATATTAAAACCTTGACTTTTCCAAACCGTGGTAAATCTTGAAACCAATTATCATCCCATGTCTAATCATAGTATACACTGCATGACCTCTGGTTTGTTCTACATTCTGCCTTATTATTATGGACAATGTCATTCTCAATTCTGTCTGTTGTTTAATTTTTATACTTTCTATTTTACTTTCTGATTCATTCTGCATGTAGCCTACTGTTCTACTTCTTCTTTATCATAATAAATCATGTATATACTTTCTCTGTTGTCAGTAATTTTCAGTTCTCTCTGTTGCTTAAACTTTATATTTTCTATTACACTTTCTGTTTCATAGTGTATACTGCATCACTTCTTGTCTTTTCTACATTATTACAATAAAAGGTCTGTATAATATCTTTATAGTCCGTAGTGTACTTCTCAGTTCTATATGTTGCTTATTGTTTATATTTTCTACTTCTAATTCCACATTTTTCTAATCTTGTACATTTTGCTTGACACTAACAAACTCTCTATATACAGTAATATGTATTTTAGGCTTTATTATTATACTGCATGGTGTCTAGTCTGTTCTACATTCTTCTTTGTTATAATGAGTAGTTTGCATACTTTCTCTGTTGTCAGTAATTCTCAGTTCTCTCTGTTGCTTAAACTTTATATTTTCTATCACGCTTTCTGTTTTTTAGCGTAAACTGCATGACCTCTAGTCTGTTCTACACTTAACATTATTATAATGAAAACTCTTTACAGTATAATATCTCGATAGTAAGCAGTGTACTTCTCATTTCTTCATGTTGCTTTATTTTTCTATTGCCTGCAACACATTCTTCTACCACATACTTAATTACATTCTGCTTGACACTAATACACTGTCGATAGTATGGAGTCAATCTAGTGTCATATACTTGTAAAATAAAATAAAGTTTTGCAAACAAAAAATGCAGTATTGAGCAAAAAATAAATGATTAAATGCAAATCTTCAAAAATCGAAAATTTGTTTTTTAAAAATAAAAAAAATTGCAAAAAAAAAAAAACTAAAATACCTGCAAATAAAATATATATACTGCAAAACATTTTTTATTGCCTTTTCAAAACCCATCCAGTCAATTGCAATGCTCATTTTTATTTGCTTTTTAGGGTCAAGGGAACTTTTAGGGACTTTTAGGGTCAAGGCCCAGACCTACTGGTCCCTAAGGGCCTACTCACACTATGCCATCCGTACCGTGCCCATGCCCGTTTCCCGGATCGTTTGAGAAGTGTGAGTGCGCTGAATCGGCCTCAAGCACAGTTCACTTGGCCGGCCCTGGCCCGGTTGGAAGAGGTGGGCCTGTGTGCTGTTCACTTGGGCTTTAGCGCGGTACATTTGTAATGTGAGTGCAAAACGTGCCAAAGCCCGAAACTGAAAGTGAGACATGACTTTTAAGGCGCTGTTTCATATGGATTTATTAATCATTCTTAGTGTTCAGTGAATGCAAACTGCCGTAGTTTATTAAAGACGAGAACTCCTCACAGCACAACAGCTGCGCGCCTTCAGCAGACCTCCTCATTCCTGCAGCACGAGGGCTTTATGATTGTTTATGAGCGCCAAAAGTGGCGGATCTGTTCAAATATCTGACTGCGTGTCACCGCATCCCTAAGGACTGTTTGGCAAAATATTTGACTCCATGTCACACTGCATATCAAACCGACTGAAACGATATAACTAGAGAAATCTCCACTGTGCTGCTGAGGCAAACTGTGCAAACTGCACTCACACTACAAACGTACCGCGCCAAAGCCCAAGTGAACCGCGCTCAGGCCCACTTCTTCAAACCGGGCCAGGGCCGGCTTAGTGAACCGTGCTTGAGCCCGATTCAGCGCACTCACACTTCTCAAACGATCCAGGAAACGGGCCAGGGCACGGTACGGATGGCATAGTGTGAGTAGGCCGTAAGACCACCTTGGTGATACTGTCTCCAGGTAAAATCGTCGGTTAAATGGAGGCAGGTCTGGACCTGTCCTAAATGCATTGCTTAATTTTTCATTTGCAGTTCTTTTTTTATTCGCAAATTTCATTTTTAGTCCTCAACTTAATTTTCCCTTTGCAGTTCTTTATTTTTGTTAAAATATTTCTCCAAAATGTATTTTTGCTTTGTGATTTTTTTAGAATTGCATTTATTTATTTTTGCTCACTTTATTTTTTTGTTTGCAAAACTCTCTTTTATTTTGCAAGTATATATGGCCTTAGATTGACTCCATATGATACAGTATGTACTGAATGACCTCTAAGGGACTAAGCCAAAAAGGAAAGGAACGAATGAACGAATGAATGACTTCTTTATAGTCAGTAGAATATACTTTCCTATTGTTTACGTTTTCAATACTAAATTCTGCATGAGTTCTAGTCTATAGCAAATTCCGCTTTTATAATGTTTGATCTCTTAACTGTAAGACTTTTCTCTTTTGTCTATAATAATTTATGCTTTATTATTATGACTTCTAGACAGTTCTACATTCAGCATTATTATAATAAATATTCTATATACTGAAGTGTAATTCCTCTATATTCAACAGTTTACTTCGCAGTCCTATATGCTATTTAAATTGTCTATTGACTATAACACTTTCTACTTTATAGTATTTTCTTTTTCATGACTAGTCTTTATTACATTTCCTTAAAACAGTGCATAGTCTATACAGTTTGTCTACAAGCTAATTTACTTCTCTTTAAGTCTACTTTTCTCTATAGTGTCTTGTCTAGTATATTCAGCTTGTTACTAATACGCAGTCTACATCAGGGGTTCTCCATTAAAAGGTCCAAATATGAATTTTTATTAACGTCAAAGGTCTGGAACAATTAAAATTACATAACTTGTTTTGATTAAACATCCATAACATGCATCACAAGTCAAGA